CATGCAGATAGAAGTGAGAGTCACCATTATACCCTCCTATCCGTCGTCTGATGAATATTCTTGTGACTCATTTGCAACGCGGATATATATAAAAAAAAAATTAATCCCAATAACAGTAATAATAATAATAGTAAAAATAATAATAATAACAATAATAATAATAATGATAATAATAATAATAATAATAATAACAACAATAATAATAATGACGATAATAATAATAATAGTAATAATAATAATAGTAACAATAATAATAATAATAACAATAGCTGAAACCGTAGGCCTCTGCATGCCCAATTTAATTTCATAAACATTACTGACCTCTGAACGAAAAGGCAGCTTTTCATCAAAAGTAACTGAACACTTAACATTACCAGAGCTGATAGTTATTTTTACTTTAGTTGCACCTCTACCTTTACGATACAGATGAGACAATTTATCAAATAAGATAAGTAAAACAAAATAAGATATTTTTATGTTAAAAGAAGAACTAATAAAATTTTGAAAATTTTTTTTAATGGTAAGAAATGTTTCGGTTCATTAATTCGTATACATTTCTTACCATTACCACAGTTGAACCTCGTCAGTACGAAGATTGTGGTAAAATCAGCAAAAATCGTCGAAAAACACATTTCCTCAGATCCTATTTCAAAGTTGTGCAGTTGGGCATGTTCGTCAAACTCATCCATGAAAAATTTTGGAAAAATTACCGTGTTTTCGTCGATGTGAATTAAGCGTAGCGTGGAGATGGCGTTAGCTGTACCGGCGATCGGATATTTCATCGGTGGAGTGGGTGCGCATCCGGGGATGGTGAGCTGCAAACTGGTGACCTGTGTTTCATCAACACGCTCGTACAGGAGCATTTTTCGCGGGCCCGGAGACCACCACATTCCCACAAATCGGTCCAACTCCTCTTGCACAACAAACGAACAGCAACCATTAGTTATGTTATCTTCGGATACCGTCGAAAAGATCAATTCACCCCTCCTGAAAAACCGTTTAGTGCTGCAGGAAAAAAGCCCATAATGAATAAAAATTTACTTTTTATAGCCGTAATTATTTATTTTTCCTCTGTTTCGTCCAAAAAAATTTGCTTTTTTAGCCATCCTGCCTCTAGGATTGCCTTTTTTTTCAACAACCACACTGTGCTTTCTTTTTTTTCTTTTTTTGCACTTCAAGTCCTTTGCATAAATGTAAAAATGCACGGTGTGGTTTGCATGTGTGTGTGTGTGTGTGTATGTGTGTGTGAGTGTGTGAGTGTGCATGTGTGCGTGTGTGTGCGCATGGGTGAGTCTGTACTTGATGTATATATGTATATATGTGTGTATGTACGTATGTACGTATGTATTTATGTATGTAATCGAGTAACTGAACTGTGCAAGTACAAATATCAGGAGAGTCAAATTCAGGATCCATGATAGCCGCAAATAAGTGACCCAAGATATAATCACTTTTTTAAATCATTCTATTATCAGACAAATATTTCTCGCAATTTTTTCAAAGCAAAATACCCACTTCTTTTTCAGTTTTCTCCCAAATTATCAGATTCCACGAAAAAAAAAATGCCCAGTTTGAATATGAACTATAAAATCGCTTTTTTTGAACAACTTACCAGTCAATATGTACATTAGAATTAGCCACAAATGCTACCATGCTGCTATCCACCGGACAAAGTTGCGCATGCAATGGACAACCATTAACACTACTGCCTACTTCTTGCGTTTTTTCACCCTAAAAATAAAAATATAAATTCAAAGAGATTCAAAAAAAAATTTTTTTTTTACAAAAAGCTGTGCTTTTTTTGTAAAAAACTTATTCTCTCTCCATTATTAAACACCAAAATCTATTATATCGAGCTATTTGAAAGCTCGGAATCGAACAAATTTGAGAAGCTGGATAAAATTATGAATCATTCTCCGTATGCACATTTTTTGTCCAATTTACAGACACGAGTTTTTTTATAAACGTAGATTTTTTGAAATTTTATGAAGGCTGGTCATGCTGCCAACTGAATTGGTGGCGCGCATAGAGCGTATTGAAGGGATAACAGTTTAATCTTAACATCTACTAACTCTAATTATCACAGTTGCCGTAATGAAGAAGTTCAATTGTTGTAATGGTAAGAAATGTATACAACTTAATGGACCGAAACATTTTTTATTTTAAAAATAATTCTATTAATTTACAAATTTTGTAATTTTCATCTCTTACCTTCCTTTTTGCTTTTATCTTTTCATCCGTTGTTAATATTATTAAAGGATAAAGAGAAAATAATGAAGTAGAAAAGATGAAGGGAAGAAAATGAAGAAAAAACGAAGAAGGAGAAAGAAGACTGTGGAAATATTTGTAATAAGTAAGAAATGTTTCGGTCCATTAAGTCGTATACCTTCCTATAACAGCTATTTGAAGTAGTAAAATAAGAATTGAAAAAAAGAAACAGTGCCTGAAGAAGGAACAAACTGGTTGAATCCGAGTAAAGCAATGTTGATGAACTGGGATGGAACTGATAAAACGATATACCGGATGAAACTGTTGTCCGTTGCCTTTCGCACAGTGCAGCTAATTCTGCAGGAGGGGCAGTACTCTGAAATAAATGGTTTCAGACATTTGTACTTACAGCTATACTAACACTGGCAGCCGCAGCCGCTGCCACGGGTTACCAGGTCGACTGCTTGCGGGTACCTTTGCCTGACATGACGGGTAAATACGGAAAGAGTTTTCAAATTTTTCGATTTCTGACTTAACCGGTTGTTGTGAAATTCCCATGATAAGATAAAAGATCTGGAGGAAAAAAGAAAAAACACATAGGTTTTATTTTTCCTGATAGACATTTCGGTTTTCGGATATTTTAGACATTTTTAAATATTTTCAGAGACTTCTGATACTTTTTTTTAATATTTTCACACATTTTGGATATTTTTAAGACATTTTCAGCAAAAACAGACAGATATTTTAATCACTTCAGGTTTTACTCGGCAAAAAATCTTTTAGTGGCTTAGCCAAAGCAGTTTCTTGTACAAACGGATATGAATGCTACGTTGATTTCAGTAACTATAAGTAGATTTCACCAATCAGTTTTAATAAATACGACGCTGATTTTGATAAATCAATAAACCCAAGATTCCAATACACACAATTTTTAAAAAATCTGCTAAATTTGACAATTCTGAATGCTGATTTTCGTGATATTGTACAAAACCAATAGGTTCAATAGCAAAATCGACAAAACAAATGGCAATTTTGATAAAAACCTGGCTAATTTTGACAAATCCAATGCATATTTTACCAAAAAAAAGAAAAAAAAAACGCCTGAAAATGAAGGAAATGTACCTCAGTTGGTTTAGTATCCAAGTAAGTGGAGAGGCACAATGTGGATGCTGAATTGATCAGTGGTGAACGTGTTAATGGGGCAGTATAAACTGTTTGTTGCGAGGAATCACCGGAACTTCCCAGTGCAAGCATTCGTTCTGTACCCGTTTCATCGACAAAAAGCGAAAAATGATGAAGTGTTGTATCCATTAATTTTCTGTAACAAAGAAAAAAATTACTATCTTTACCTTAAAATGCAATTATTTTTACCTCAAAAATCACTCAGCAAATTCTCCGTGAAGGCCAAAAACGCAAAATGTGCTAGCAATTTTTGTGAAGGAATAATAATAGTGTGCGGCAATTAGAAGGTCGAACCGTAGTCTTAGAAACAATAAAAACAAAGTAGACAATCCAGCTCAAAACAAAGTGTGAAGCAGCTGGAGTTCGAAAATTTAAACCTAAGGTAAGATTAGTTTACTAAGGTGAAGTTATAAAGGAAAAGATTGTATGGTGGGCCTGTGCGTGGATACCACGCATGCCCGGTGTCTGGTTCTGAGCTCATTAATACCTATTTGGGTGGGAAATACCCCCTTCCAGTCTTCGAGCTTTTCAGGTTCTCGAGTTAACAAACTGCCCGCAAAAAACTTCTACGGGTCCCTACGTGGATAGCACGCAGGGAAGACCGCCCATTTTGGGGATGGGGGCCCGCACCAACATGTAGATTAAGTTCACAAAGTATCAGCTCTATGGCATTTGTCGGTCTCGAGATGAAAAATCGCTACAGACGCCCAACGCACACACAGACACACACACACAGACAACCCCTCGTCAATATGCGCTTTCTGCATTGCATAGCTGCAAAAACGTATAATAAAAACTAAATAGACAATCCAAAGCAAACAAAACGTGAAGTGGCCAGAATCCAAAAATTTAAACCTAAGATGGGGTTAGTTTAACAAGATGAAGTTCTGATGTAAAGGAAAAGATTGTAGGGCGATTCATATGTGGCACAAAACC